ACNNNGAATATATATATATATATATATATATTACAATACATAAACAAATGCGATAAATATAAAATATAGAGATAAATAAAATAGTGATCTAGCCTTTATCTAAGAGATATCAATTTTTAAATATAAAAAATAGAATTAAGATATAACTCAACAAAATAATAAAGTTAATAATTATAGGAGTATAATAATTAGTTAATATTGTAAAACTTATTTATACCTTAATATTTAATCCATATGGCTGTAAAAGAATAATAAAAACTTTCGATTTTAGTATGTAAAAAGAGCTTGAAATTTTCGGCAAAACTAGAATGTCAAATCCTTATTTAGATAGATCTACATGTAGATGTAGATGTAAATGTTTAGTATATTGTACTCTTTAATTTAAAAACTTTTACAATAAGGTAGATATTTTGTATAATATTTTGCTTCTATATATTATCCAAATATATAAATTTTAAATAAAAGTGATCTTCAAAATAATTTTGTTATTTTTGGTTAGTATGGCGTTTTTAGTTACTATCAAATCAATCTAACTTTGTAGACAAATGGTGTATTCAATTAGGATTTTTAAAGACTTTTTAAGACTTTAGAAATCCTGGTGTATTCAATTTAGATTTGTTAAGACTTTTAAAAATCATGAGGTATTCAATTGCGATTTTAAAAAGTCTTACAAAATCCTGAGTTATTTAATTTATTTGACACTAGGATTTGTTAAGACTCTTTAAGATTTGATGGGATTTTAAACAAAAAACCTTATACGAAATCCTACCTCAAATCCCACCTCCAAACCTAGGATTTCACGAAATTTCTCCAAAATCCAGAATTTTTAACAAATCTCAAATCTTAAAAAGTCTTAAAATGTCACTTGAAATCCCAATTGAATACAATGATATATTTTATAAATATTTAATAACTACAATATTTGGTGGAAATTATTGTAATTTTAATATATGTATTTCAAATATAGATCGACTATACGGCGTTTTATTGGAATGATTTTTTGTGCGTCATATCAATAAATTAAATTTTAATTGAAAATATAAATATATTCGTTAAATTTCAGAAATATGCTACTATAGTTTCATGAAATTAATCCACATTATAGAATTATAAATTTTTATGTTATTTTGAATAAAGCTATTAATTTACTCCACATTATAGAATTTGAATTTATTTACGTTATTTTAAATAATGATATGATATTAAATTAAGCCTTACATACAATTAAAATATTTGACAAAAAAGAACAGTGATTTTTTCTTACAAAATTCCAATATTTTTAATTCCAGGGCGCATATTAATGGAACTGCACAAAGATGAATTCATAGATAGATTTTATAATATAAAAATAATAAAAGCTTATCATGATATATATTTCTAATTCCCATTTTAACTCGCAGTCCAACGTCAAATTCCACCAGTTCCAAAGTGAAAGATATAGTATATTATTAGCTAAACAAGTAGTGCTATTTTCTTACGAGGGGAACCACAAGTCGATTGCTCACTCAAGTCAGTATTTGTGAAACAAATGTCAAGAAGCAGTAGTGCATCTCATGCCCTCAATGCAACATATAATCCTATTGAAGCCCAAAGACTTTTCCTCTCAAACTCGATAAAATAAATCTTTTATTTGTCTATATATTAATAGATATGTAACTAACATAAAATATAATTTATTAAAAGGGAGATTACGGTAGTTGTTCGACTTAGGGAAATAAGTAAATAAAAATTGGATAGTACACCTGCGGATTGGGTTTCCAAGAATGAAACTACTTGTCGACCAACAACACTAACAGAAACATTTTATGAAAATTATCTGCATCATTTTAACTAGATTATCTGAATTAGACAAAATTATAATGTAATCAATCTATATTTTAGTTCATGCTTATATTTGAATTGATGCTAAAAAGTGAAGTGTAAAACAGCTTGAAACCATTTTTAGATATGCACATAAAAAAGTTAACCTAATGAACATAAATTAAATTATGTTTATATTGCACAAATATTACGAATGGTATGGAGTACGTTTGGAGTGGGACAAAATCAATATAATTAAAAATGTGGACAAAAATGAGGTACTGTGTCAGTGCATTGCCATCAATGCCAAACTGCCAAAATCAATTCAAATATTATTAATTTTTCCTTTACAGAAAAAAGATTTCTGAGGAATTCAGATTTAAAAGTGCTCATTAAAGGGGTACTAAAACGTTTGAATCTTATCCATCACGTCACGCATTTTTCGTGTGTTGATTGTTGAGATGTTTGAAGAGTGTTATTATCTAAGTGTAACAATACTGCATGCACGAATTCCAATAAACACATGATTTATTTTTGTTGGCTTGTGAAGAAAATGTTTGAGATGAAGAAAACTTGTTTTGCATTTCTTATCGGGCTTGCTTGTTTACAAATTTATCGGCCCTTTGATTTATTTAGTTAATCAGGATTAATTTTAAAAATTAGTTTAGTTAGTTTTAGTGTGATTTTGAGTTTGTATTAATATTATATTCGAAATAAGATAATTGAAGTTGATTTGGCGTAAAAGTATATAAGAAAAATGATTGAAATTGATGATTAGTTAAAGTTATGTGAATGAATAAAAAGTGAATTAAACTTGATCTGATGCGCAGAATGATCGATTGTTATCTTAAAAATTATTTTTTCAAATAGGTTGTGACCCAATGTTAATCTTTGACATGATAGTTGATTTTCAATTTATTATCTTTTTTTNCGATGCGGTCGTGAATAAAGATAGCTTTAATATTGGATTTAATATAAAACATAGGTGAAAGCTACATTCTCGTTATAGTATGGATTGATTGGTGTTTTTAATAGTAGATTATCTATCCATCACTGTATTGTCTGTCGATGTTTCTAATTGTAGATTATCTACACATCACTGATTTATATTTGTATTTACAGTTAAAAACACCGACAATACCATACAGGAACGGACTGTAGCCTTCCCAGACAATTGACATAATTTTCTCAAAAGTTCATTTATGTGAGCCCTGTTCAGCTATGTTTCTATAAAAAAATACATACTAACAAATTAATAAATTTTGTTGAACCTAATCTTGCAATTCAATCACAAGTTAGCACAAACACATTAATACAACATTAACCATAAAATTACAACATTAAGTTCACACTTCCTAAAATACACACAAACATTACACAATCACAAATACAACCTTATCCATAGAAACATCATCACATATACACTCCGTAAATACTCAAAGATCAGCCCAAAACGGGACGCCGGTGGCCGGAATCCAGTCGGCCCCACCGATAAAATTCCTAACCGCAAACTTATTAGCCTCGTTCGCATCGCTCAACACGTGAAAACCGGGCCACCTAACCCTATTCCTAGTCGAAGCCCCGCCCCCCGTGTTCATATACTCGGCATAGTACAAAGTCGAGAGCGCGAAATCCCCATCCCACTCTTTCCACCCCCTCTCGTCAACCAATCCATCGAGATCTGTCTTCAAAAACACGGTCCTCGAGTACTTTTTCCACGGCCGCCCTAAATAGCTCTTGAAACCACCCACGACATCTCGGAACTCGGACGAGGGTGCCACTCGAGAGTTTAGGATGGAAATTCCCGTGTTCTCGTTTGGGTCGTCTCGACCTTGGGCCGTGATCATGTTTGATTGGTGGTCCATCGGCCTCCGGACGAATATGTCGCAATTTTGCAGAATTGCAGCTGCATCGCCGAATATGAAGTCGATTGTGCCGTGAATTTGGCATTCGCGGTAAAATTGTCGGAGGGAGTGGACAAAGAGTGTGTCTTGGTAGCCCTTGAAGCTGCACCGGTATAAGACTGATAGGTCGGAGCTCACTCTCAAAGCCACCGCTTGATGTTTGTGCGGGCCCGCGGTATTCTCAAACGTCATGTCGCGTGCCCAAAAACCATCGCCCGATACACCTACGCATACACATACACGTAAAAATATATATATATATATATATAGGTCATCAAAAGAGTCGATTATTGATTAACGATAGTTAACAAAAAAAAATGAGAAGTGTATATATATATCCTAATGTTTTATTTGAATAATAAATGTTACGTGCATAATAGCATGCGAACAATAAGATATTACTTATTCGGCTAATTCGATCCTACCGGTGAGGACGTTGGTGGTCAGGGCCGAATTTTTCTACTTATTCATCCAACATTTAATAGGCGAGGCGACATGAAAGAACATTAGTTTGAACATTTTTATCAAATGTGGCACTTAATAGGCGACATTAACGAACATTAGTTTGATCATTTTTACCAAATGTTGCGGAATTTAAAGTGGTTGCACCATCTTGTACGTTTTGATTGCCCGTGACGACTGTTTTGTCGATTCCATCGCCAATGAACATAATGTTCTTCAAATCCCGCCCAATTTCCACTTTCTCTCTGTACACTCCCAATTTCACGTACACTACGACCCTTTCAGGTCGATTTTGACCCAATCGGCCCAATGCATCCACCGCCTCATTTATCGTCCGATAATTCCCCGACCCATCTTGAGCTACCACAAAGTCAGCCTTTGACTTTTCCGAATCCCACGACGCTAGATTATCTCCCACATTGTTCAACCCAGGCCTCCTACCTACTATTATATCAAGAAAACACACTTAAGATTTACTTATCTACTTACATATACATTATCTAATTACATTCACTAAAGATGCAATTACATATCTCAAATCAAGAAATGTGATCAAGATTGTCTAATTACATTCACTAAAGATGTAATTAGTTAATTACATATCTGAAATCAAGATTGTCTAATTACATTCACTAAAGATGTAATAATTACGTGTGTGAAATCAAGAAATGTGATCAAGACTATGCTTTAGCTATGCATAATTACACAATTACCCTTTCTCTTTCTCCTCCTTCGATTCACATCCGCCCCGTAAACCGCCAAGGCCTCCCGAATAGAACGAGTCAAGTTTTGGGCCTGTTGGGCCTCAAACGGCACACCCCTTTCTGTCAGCCCATCCAAACAAGTCATGTGGCCCGCCAAGGCCGCGCTAAGCCAAGTGATAACATCATCATGGCTAAAATTGCGGGAGACCGTCCGGGCCAGCCTGGGCTCGGCATCCTCATACAGCGCAACGCAGTCGGTCAGGGCTGATTGGGTGGAGCCCAATAGATGGCCCGGCCCGTTAAGAACCCGGAGCTCTTGGGCCCAAGGCACGGCCTGTAGCAGGCCCTGCCTGGCAATTTGGACCGTCTCGAGGTGTTTGGCCCAAGAAATAGAGTTAGCGGTGGCTGATAGAAGAAGAAGAAGAACAAGGAAGAAGGTGCTGATCACAAGAGAAGACATTTCTATATATTTTTTTATACATTTTTAGTGAGTGCTCATTTTTTGGTGCTTTTACAAAAATTACTGGACAAATTTATTTAGTGCTATTATGAAAAAAGAGATGAAATGAATTCTGCAATAATAACACGTGTATGATTTTGTTACAGTACATATAACACTAATTTTAAAATTAACAACTATTAAACATACTAGATATTAAATTGAGTCTTGTTGGGTATGATAAGGAAATTTGTCATTTATGAAGGGTCGTTTTGAAAAATGATAGAAGTATAATCAGAACAAAGAACCCCGCAATTGCTCCCACGATTATGGCCACTGTTCTTCCCACATCGTCTTGCTCGCTGGTTTCTATACAATATTACACACAACAAAGAGAGAAAAAGGCAGCTTTTATTTAATTTAAGGTTAAGAATAAATTATAAAATAATTATTGAGGTTGAATTTAACCCTACTCCATGGAAGTTTTATAACCGTTCAATCAACATACACTTTACGAATGTATCTAAAAATGTAAAATAGAACGGTTAAAATTTTTTGTAGAAGAGTATCCACGAAAATAGGGTCAAATTTGACATTACTTAATGGTGTGCATGTTACAAGTTACTAGAAAGTGGACAAACATTATGTTCAAGTTGCAAAAGTGAATTATAAAGTGCGAATTTAGATTGTTTTTTTTAGTGACCATATAAAAAATAAAAAAATAAAAAAATGGAATCTTGACCTAAGGTTATGTCCCAGAATAATTTTTCGAGGGATTCTGATTCTCAAATAATCGGTGCAAAACTACGAAGTGACATTGCACTTTTTATTTGTGTGTTTCTCATTTTTTTTAAAAAAAGAGTATGTGGCTCAAATTGGTTAATAAAATCATTTGAGTTTCAGGTCGTTAATACTAATAAACGAGCCGAAAAAATTGAACAAGCTCGTTTATCATCTCGTTTTGTTAACCTCAGCTCGACAAAAACTCAAGTTCGAGTATCATCACCTCCGAACTCGACTCAACTCGTTTACGTCAGAAAAACCCAGAAAAAAAAAATAAAAGAACAGTGACTATGAAAATGATATGATATTAAATTAAGAGATTTTTTCTTACAAAATTAAAAGAACAGTGATTTTTTTTCTTACAATTAAAATATTTGACAAAAAAGTACAGTGATTTTTTCTTACAAAATTCCAATATTTTTAATTCCAGGGCGCATATTAATAGAATTGCACAAAGATGAATTCAAAGATAGATTTTAAAATATAAAAATAATAAAAGCTTATCATGATATATATTTCTAATTCCCATTTTAACTCGCAGTCCAACGTCAAATTCCACCAGCTCCAAAGTGAAAGATATAGTATATTATTAGCTAAACAAGTAGTGCTATTTTCTTATGTAGAATTTTTTCTTTGGAAAAAAATATGATTTGCAAAATTGTAAGGATAAATATTACTTAATTATCACATGCTCATTTTAATTAATCGCATTATATGAAAGAAAATAAATCTATACTTATTTTTATATGATGTTTAAAGTTTGAAATTTAAATTATTTTTTAAATTTTCACATAGAGTAAAAATAAAAATTTAGCTGGGATGGGATATTTCTTACTATTTAAGATAATTTTTTTTATCGGTAAAAGTAAATTTATCTAAATTATGGTTCGGACGACCGATAATCGGCATAAAAAAAGCGCAGCAGGCAACCACATTTTGCATCTCCGGTGGCCGGAAGTCGTTAAGTGCAAGAATATTTGAAGTTCAAGGGGTAAAGTGTCACCGAAAAAAGTTGAGTGGGCAAAGTGTAAAAACGCGGATAGTTCGGTAGGCAAAGCTCCTCCACGCCCCCTTCGGCCACCGCCCCAAACCACCCCCCGGTAGCCTCCTCCCTCGCCCGACCCTCCAATTCCTCCAACAAACCGTCTCTCCTCCTCACAAAATCCCGACCACCGCCACCACCACGGCACCTCCGATACCTTAACCCGTCGTCTGGCACGCTGACAAAATCCGTATCCTCATACCTCACGAAGCACCCGTCGAGCTGCACGCTCGATCCGTATGCGCTCGGGCAGAGTCGAGACATCTGTCCGAGCAGGTCGGCCACGCACAGGGAGCAATCCCTGTGTGTCAGGTCGCCTCGGCACTGGTAAAGGCCGTAAGCTGTTGTCGGGGCAGATTCACCGCCCGGAGGCGGCGGCTCTGCCGCGGTGGAGAAGTGGTTGTAGAGGACATTGGAGGAGGAGGCGGCGATGGACGAGAGGAGAGAATTGAGGCTTGTCTCGTAGGGCGTGTTTGGTGGGTACTTGTCGGGGGAGCAAGCGGCGTAGATGAGGGAGTGGACGGCGGCTAAGGTCGGGCGGCGGTGGTCGCCGATGAGGAGGAGGAGGAGGAAGAGGGCGGTGGTGAGGAGGGATGGGAGGTTGATAGGGTGTGGTGGCATTTGTGAGTTTTGGTAGACTTTATTTTGAAGTTTTGAGTGCTTTTCATGAAATTGTGTGTGTTTTTCTAACACGTAACTCGGTAAGTAAAGTTGGTATGCATTCGAAAATGAAAGAATACTATTATTTTCACTTTATTTTTGTGTGTGTGTGTGTGTGATATGAATAATATTTTGAGATGGATTGGACTAGTGGTTTTGATGGTTTTCATTTTGGTGTGGGTATATGGATTCTTATTCTCTTATGGCTAAAATTGGTGGATGTTAATTTATGGCCCATGCTTTGATAAAGCATATTCTTCAAGGATTGAACTATTAGACATACATCTACAATCTAAAGGATTGAACTACAAAGGAAAGTGAAAAATCCTACAATTTATAATGTTAAAGAATAAAACGCACCAGCGACTCATAAAGGTTCGAAAATCGAAATTTTCATATAATGTTTGTTTATAAGTCGGCTCATTAAGAAACTAGTCAAGCTCAAGTTCATTATCAATTTGGTTAGTTAACGAGACGAGTTCGGCTCGACTTGATAAAGGCTTGAGTCCATACTCGAGTGTCATGAGCTCAATCGCGACTCGGTTCGTTTCCACCCTTGTAAATAAAAGAATATGAATGGTAATTATTTTAGTTTAAATGCAAAAACACTAATTTCATAGATTGGGCTTAAATGCACAGCCCAATAACTTCTCATTCTTTTACCTGAAGAGTAGTTTTTTTGTAGCCCACACGAGTTTGGGCTGTGTCATGTAGCTCAATCCATGAATATGGCAAAATAAAGTGTTCACATACACTAACAGTCGCCTTGAGTGTAGATAGGTACAGAGTGCGCTAGAGCCTCAATTTTTTTTAGTCAAAATCTAGTTCGCTCATTTAATTAATTCCTATGTTGACTTTATAAATGATTTGGAATTTATATGAAAATAAAAAGCATAACTTGAACATATATACATGTTTATATATATGCGTAGCTCATTCACACAAAAAGCCACTCATACACATAATTCAAGAAGCTATCCTAAAGTTAGGGTTGGAGGACTCAACCATACTTATATTTACCTCTCATTTAAATTTGAGACTTAACTATTGGCTATACTTCAGAGTGATATTCGAGTCGTAGTTCACAATCAAGTTATTGCTTGTTTAATAATAGAGTTGCCCTGAATTGTTTAATAAACAAATTAAAAGATCGTCTATGTTAATTTCTTGAAAGCGTGGCTCAACTCATTCAATAATCCTAAACGAGTTTTTCACAGAGTATGAAATATTTACACAAAAACAAGTTTGTCTCGATTGTTTCATTAAAATTATTAAAAATAATCAAAAAATAAATAAACAAAATGATTTTGTCGGTAGCAAGCTCATTCTTACTCGTTTAGTAAACAAGTCGCGAGCTCGAGATTATTTGAGTTGTGTCGAATCGTGTCCGGTGAACAGTTCAATTTCAACAAAGTCATTAAACAAAATAGTTAATTGTCAACATTATTATTATTATTATTACAAAACTCAAGGCACCAACGACTTTTCTTCTTAAAAAAAAAGGGGGGTTAATTTGGCGCAACCTAGCTAGCATCTAAAGCCAACCAAAAGTCCGCAGCTTTTCTCTGAATTTAGTATATATGGGCAGGTGAAAGTTGGTCAATTAATGACCCTCTAAAAAGCAATTAAGCTGACACCCACATACATAGCTCCACAAAAAGTTGAATTTTTTTTTACTAAAATTTCTTTATTAGTTAAATTAATTTAATTTATATTTTCACACTATCATGAGAACATCAATGCATTGGGATTCTCTGAGATTTTGTTGATTTATTGTCACATGGCATGGTTAAAAAAAAATTAAAGAGACAAAAATCAAGACATATTTTATTTATTTTTTGTGATAATAGATTAGAAGTTTAGAATTATTACACGAGATAAGTTGTTCGAGAACAGACTAAATAATGTGTTGATCTTGAACTCGTTAAATTAACAAAAATAAAAATATTAGACGATTCGTTAAGCTTCAAATTTGGCTTGTCCGACCTCATTTTGTCGATCCATTTAGTTAATTAATCAAGCTCGAGTATTGAAAACGCGCGCTCGACTATTCTACAACTTCTATAGTAAACCTATGCATGTATGCTTTAAGTACATGGTAAAAGTCTAGGCACACACTTTCAACCTTATAGCTATTCTATGTACTATATACATAGCCTGCACACATATGTATATGGGTATATATATATATATGCAGACACACAT